TATGCCTGGCTTAACTTTTAATTGGGACACACTGACCAGATGTTTTTTTTTTTTTTTTACACAGTTGGAAAGCCGAAGAACCAGGTGATCAATGCTTGTCGGGATGCCATTCGAAGCAACAATATCAACACACTCTTCAGAATCATGCGGGTGGGGACTGCTCCTTCATAGGAGAGCAAGACCAAGGAAGGAAGCGCCTGCGGAGGTTTATGTCTAGAAATCCAGGCCGATTTGCTCCCAGTCGCATCCTGGTGAGTCCAGGCTGCTGAGAATGAAAACCGTGGTGACTTAAAATGAAAGGCAGGTGTTCCATCTGACAGTCGGTCTCCTTTCTTTTGATATCCATAGTAAGGTTGCTGATTTGTGAAATAGTGTGACTACCTTACAATATCAGGCTGTCAGAGTTTAGCTTGTTCTTATATAAAGTTAGTGTATGAGTTTATCTCCTTCCCCCTTGAAATTGTAAGTGAATTTTAAAATTTGAAATGAAGTATTTACTTTTTCATTAAAAATAAAAGATACTGGTCTTTGTTGTTGATTATAAATTACCACCATAACAGAAATGCACAAAACATCTTTATTTTGTGGGGAAAAACAAAAATACAGACATTCAAAATTTTTAATCATCCAAAGGTGTGTGTAAACAAATTTATATTAAGGAAAACAAATTTCAAGGCGGTCTGTCAGTTGGGGTAGCATTAGTTGGAATACAGATCTCCAAAGGCATCACTGGCTGAAGCTTTTCATTCATAAGGACCTGAGAGAGACTTGCTTAAGGAACCACTCAGGCAACTATTTCATTCTTGTATGGAGTGGTAGCCTTTATCACTCGCTCGGAGCCCTGCCTGTAAGGCTGCCCCAGGACCTTGTGTTTGTCTCTACCCAAGGAGAAAGGGAAGAGAGGACAAAGAGGAGCCATGCTTCCTAACAGTGCAGGGTAGACACATTGACACACTCAAAGTGGTTATCACAGGACGAGATTGCAGCTGACCATTGTGTTTTCAACATAGTTTGAATTTCTCAACAGTGAACATGCATATTTATATAATCTGAAAAGATAGAAAGCAGTTATCTTTGGAGGGAAGTCCACCTTGAGGAAAAGGAGTTACAGGAACTGGAAGTTCACAGCTGGACACAGAGGTGTACTTCTGTAATATTAGCAGTTGGAGGATAGGGTGTACACAGAGACCCTTCTCAAAACACCAATAAATAAGAAAGCAAAGTAAAAGGAACTAGAGGCTCACTATTAGGAACTAAAAGAGACATGCCACTGTCACACAGACACGGCACAGCGTTGATCGAGAGGAGGTGCTAAGAGTCCACATTCCTCTTTTGTCCTCTGCCCAAAGCAGCAATCAGTTAGGACCAAGAATGGAGCAGAGTTCATGGGGTGAGCAAGTTCACTGTGCAAATACGACCGTGTACTTGAACAAACAAGGCGGAAACTTTCAGGCTTCCAATGTGTACACGTTAAAAATACTCTATATTCAATAGCCTTAGTTTACAGAATAGAACTTCTTTATTGTAAACTATAATTTTTATAACTTTGACTTATAACAATGCTTCACACTGTATAACTGTACAAAAATATTTCCTTCAAGTTATTTTCAAATTTTTAAAAAAACTTTCTGAAATTTTTGTTAAAAACTAAGACACACGCACACTGGCTCAGGCCCTCATACTTAGGATTAGTATCATCATCATCACTGCCTTTCCCTTGTGTGTTCTGTTCTACTGTGGTCTTCAGGGGAAGTAATGCCTTCCTCTGGAATACCCTTGAAGGATCTGCCTGAGGCCACATGGGAGTTAGCGCCTTAACAGCAGTGCACCCTGAGCGGCTAGTGTGTGGTGGGCACACAGTGGCGGCTGCTACCGACTGTTCCCTGCACAGCTGCATGCGCTGTCCTCTCATGCAGTGGCAGCACAGGTGGCCTGTTCATCACCATGACCATGCGTGATTTCGAGTATGCAGACTTAGGGGCTCACTGTCATATGCCGTTGATCTCAATGAAACATCAATAACGTGGCACGTGACAAGTGAAAAGAAGCAGCCTGCAGGTCCTACTGTTCTTGCAGGCCAGGAGGCTCTGCAAAGACAGAAGGACCCTTCAGGGTTCTTTCTGTTCAGGCATTTCAACTCAGGCTTGTAAAGATCCTGTTGTGCTGACAGACCATAAGCATATGGGGATGAAGGGGAGAGTTTAAGATTCAGCCACAGGTCTCCAGAACAGGAAAAGCTAGGTGGTGTTGAATAATGCTAAGAGATACATGCTTTGGCTCACAGAACGCTTTCATTATCTAGCACTTTCCCCTGGGTCTTCCTGGAGTTAATCCACTGACAAAATGTTGGCTAAACTCATTCTTTCTCCCCCACTCATGAGAACACACCAAAAACTAAGGAGTTGGATGTAGTAGTACATCGCTGTAATCCTGCCATGTGAGGCAGGAGGACCTTGAGTTTAAGGTCAGCTTGGCCTGCAGAGTTGAGTACCCAGTTCAGGAAAAAACAAAAACAAAAACAAGAATGACTGGAGGTATATAGCAAGTTCTGGGTCTGAGTCCCAGCACCCTAGACAGAGACAGAGATGGGGGTTGGGAGGAAGAGGGAGGGCAGAGAGCGCACCTGCCTTTAGTCTGCAGCAATTCAGAAAGGGCAAGCTTCAGAATTAACCCGCAGCAACAAAGTATTGGTAGTACCGCTTGAGCACAATGTGGTTTATAATGCTGTGGAGTCCAACACAGTATACATGGACAATGCCTATCACCTCTGGCATGAGAAACTAGATCTGGATAGTCTTTGGTTTTGGTTTTTGAAACAGGACTTGCTATGTAGCCCTAGCTGTCCAGGAACTCACTCTGTAGACCAGGCTGGCCTCAAACTCAGAGATCTGCCTGCCTCTGCCTCCCAAGTGCTGGGATAAAGACATGGGCCACCACTCCAGCTCTTTGTTTTTGAGATAGGATCTACTATTGCCCAGATTGGCCTTGAACTCACTGTGTAGCTGAGGATAGTCTTGACTTCTTGATCTTCTTGCCTCTACCTCCTGGTCCAATTAAAGTTGTCTGGACATTCTCATCTCATTATTTAAAAATTACTTTGTTTTATGATTAATATCAGAACACCTAAAAACTTGTAAGTATCCATTAGGCTATGGCTATGAGTGTTAAATGTGTTTTACTCAATGGGGCAAAGAAAACAAACTGAAGCCCATCAATGTAAAAGACGATGATGTAGTGGGAGCTGTTTGAGCCATGCCCTGAAGCACCGCCCCTAGTGAGGTAGCAGGTAACTGGTACACCTGCCTATGACCTTGAGGTACATGCCCCTGGGGCATGGCCGCTGTGTGTGTGTGTGTGTGTGTGTGTGTGTGTGTGTGTGTGTGTGTGTGTGTGTGTGTTACCTTTAAGACCTGGGATGCATGTACTTGGCTCTCTCTTCACTACCTCATGGTTTTGGATGCTGGGATGGACCAGGGCAAAGCTCTCCAGAGAACAGCATTGGACCATGCCTCACCCTTCCAGGATCCTGTGACAAATTCCTTTATTCTGTCTTGTGAGTTAACCCCCAAATAAATTCCTTTGATCATTAAGCAGACTCCATGGATTGCTAGCAATATAATCCCAATAAGATGGTATTTGGATGGAGTTTTAAGACATGAAAGAGAAGTGTGAAGGAGAAATTTAAAGGTCCAGTGATTTTCTATTAGTAAGTAAAGTCCACACTGACACCTGCAAGGATGGTCAGAAATGGAGAAAGCAGCAGACAGACACGGGGTGGGGCGGGGCGAGAACATCTGGCAGCCATCGTGCGTACCCCACAGTGGGAAGAGCTGTGTCACAGCCCCTGGAGCAGAGCAGGAGAAAGAATGAAAGGAAATGAAGGCTTCTTGTAATTCTGACTCAGCCTCTTAGTGCTAGCCTTTCAAAAGGAAGAAGGAAAAGGCAACAAGCTTACACCTGGCCGGCAGCATGTAGGAACAGTCACTGCAGGCTAGACTCACAGAAGCCACAGCTCCAGGTCTGGAAGGCACAGACCAGTGCTTCTCCACCTTCCTAGTGCTGCAACCCCTTAACACAGTCCTCATGTTGTGCTGACCCCCAACCATTAAGTTATTTTTGTTGCTACTTCATAACTGTAATTTTGCTACTGTTATGAACTGTAATGTAAACATCTGATATGCAGGATATCTGATATGTGACCTCTGTGAAAGGGTTGCGATCCGCCGCAGTAGACACTTGAGAGTAAATAAGTAGGGCAGTAAGCAGCCTGTCTTCTTTCTCAGCCACGTAATTCCCAGGGCCACGTTAGTTTTCAGCCACCCCTTTGCCAAGCCCCACTACCCATCCGAGTCTACAACCTGAGAGTCAGGGTGGAACTCAGCCCACGGTGGGGAGCAGTGTCATGACTGAAAGTGGGCCACAGCACTCAGACTCAACATGAACAGGGTTATACACGTTTCTACAACCACAGATGAGTGAAAAAGAAATCACTGGGAACGCTGATAAACCTCGAGGGCTCTGTGCTAAGTGAAACAAGCCAAGTATGAAGGGATAAATACTGTGTGATTCACTTAAGAGGCAAAGAGTCAAATTAATAGAGAAGAGGCAGTAGCCAGTGAGACTATTAAAAGGGCATGGAATTTCACTTTGGGGAGACAGAAAACATTTGGATATGGATGGCAGTGATGGATGCTCTGGAGCACTGTCAGTGTGCTCAACTCCACAGATGTACATACATACATACATACATACATACATACATACATACATACATACAAGAACTGGTGGCCCTGGTGGCTCATGCCTATAATTCCAGCATTTGGAGGTTGGGGTGGAAGGATCAGTAGTTAAGAGCTAGCCTGGGCTACCTAGTAAAACTCTGTCAAAAGAAAAACAAAACAAAACAAAACAAAAAAACCTCAAACCAAAAAATAAAAATGTTATCCTGCTAAATGTTATGTTATATATATTTTACCACAATAAAAAAAAAATCACCAAAGTTAGAAGTTGCTGAGGCGGTCACTATAGAACCAAAAGAATTCAGTGGGGGCGGGGGCTTAAAAAACAAAACAAAACAAAACAAAACAACCAAGGGATAAGTACATAGCTGGCGACCGATGTCTGGGTTGAGGACAATCATGAATTCCATAAATGGGACGACCAAGATTTGTTTTGTTTTGGGGTCTCACTGTATAGCCCACACTGACCTTGAACTTGAGGTCCTCCTCTTTCTGCCCCCCAAGGCTGCATTACAGGTGTGCAGCAGCACAGCCACTAAGGACAGCCTGGCGGAGGGCCCTGGTACCTGCACGCTTTCTTCCTGCACCCCATGAGGACCCCAGGCTTCCCAGCACTGAGGAATGCTGCTGGCTTTGCCCAATCCTGTTACTCATAATAGACGAATGCAAAGTCCCAGAAACCACTTCTGTTTGGGAAGGTTTTCTGTTGCTCTAGGCTTCGGTGGTTAATGTGCTTCACAAATTTCAGAGTTTCTCTATCTCTGTAGACCAATGCCAGAGAATTGTTTTCTGGATTCACTATGAGCAGCTGAAACAGGAAACATGAGACACATCAGAATGCAGAGCTCATTCTCAGCTCTGCAACGATTCACCACAGGTAGTTTCCACAGCAAGGATTTAAGTTGGGGATGAGGCAGCCTTTTAAAGATCCTTCCTTAGGAGATGAGCTAATGAAGAGGTCAAGACATTTTCCAACAGGCTCTGCCTCACTAGCAACACTCAGAAGAAGTTTTGCCTAATGCATTTTCCCCCAACTATCTAGAAATGTGAGTGGGCATGAGCCTCTTAACTCATAGGTTGTCAGTAAGGTACAATACTTGGTGATTTTCCTTTCAAAGCTTTACTGTAAGCTGAGTATTTTTTTTTTTTTTTTTGTAAAATTAGAGCCACAAGGCAGGCCAATGTGGATTTATCAGCTAAAAACACTGGCTGAGGTAATAAATTTTGTATTTCTTGTCAGCCATGGTGATTCACACCTGTAACTTCAGCACTTGTTTGGTGGAGGCAGGCATATTGCTGTGGAAAGTATGAAGCCAGCCTGGGTGAGCTAGTGAGCTCTAGGACAACCTGGGCCATATAGTTAGACCCTGCCTCAAAAACAAAAAACAAACAAACAAAAAAACCAAAATGAAAAGCATCGAGTAACTAAATGACCAGGTGTCGTAAGAACAGAACTGTTTCAAGAGCTAGAGAGGAGAACTTGCTTTGAGAAGGGCCACCTACCTCTTCATCTTCACCTTTGGCGATGTAGGAAGTAAAGCCGCCATACTCTGGCTCCCAGCCTGACAAGGGAAAGACAAACAGCACTGAGCTCACACTGCACGCACTGCGTGCTGAACAGCAAGGGCCCTGGGACTTCTGTCCTGGCGTCCAGCATCTGCCGTTGTGGACTCCCTTTCCCTTACATGCCTCATTTCCCAGACAGCTGAACCTGGGAACACAGGCTTACTAAGTAACACTGAATAAGAAAATTAAAGGAATTAAATGTTAGATATACTGGAAGGGCAATTATATTAAAAAAATATAGACCCCATGGTTGTGCTGAAGATTTAGGGAAAAAAATAAGGTATGGTCTACCTTTCCACACTCAGATATAAATCTGATTTTGGGGACACTGAAATTCATGACCCCCAACATCCTTTAGAACTGTGAGAGCATGGCCACAGAAAAGTACTTAGGAGTTGGATCAGCTGGAGAGAGTCCCCCTGGAGAGCCTGCCTGAACTAAGGAGACAACTCTGCCTTGCTCCTTCCTACCTTCACAGCCACAGTAGAGAAAGAGGTCCAAGGCAAATTCAGTCTTGCTGTTGTCGTGGACTAAAGTGTAGTGACCGGTCTTCCAGTGCCTCAGCTCCCCCTGGCACATGGGCACACCTGATTCTAAGAAAACACAAGAGGACGTCCAGCAGATTTTGTACAACTTTGATACAAATGCAGGACTGCGAGGGAGTGCTGATAGGGATGACAGGACACCATGTGGGAACTATTCCCACATCCTTCAGCCGGCCTGCAGGCCCACCACACAGTCTAGTGACAGTCAGCAGTTATCAGGTCTCATTATTTAGTGTGTGTGTGTGTGTGTGGGGTGTATTGACTTTCAGTCTCTCTCTCTTTTCTGGTCTCTATGATGATCTTTCACTCTCATCTGAAGCCCTCCAGTAGCATGCCTGCAAGGGCTCCCCCTCCCATTCTCTGAGGACCTCACTTAAGTCAGAACCCAGCTTAGCTCTTTCCTGCCGATCCAGTCAGCTTTCCCTTTTAGCCTATCTCCAGTCCTTTATCAGCTGCAGACTCCTAGAAACGTCTTCTCCCGGGAACCCGGGGCCACACCTGCTCCACTATCCTCCTTGCCCTCCATTACAATCTTTCATTCCTACCCTCAGACCACATGTGCAGCAGCCTGCTTTCAAGAGCTCCTCCTCCACCTCCCCTCCCCCTCCCCGGGGACCCTGCCCCTTAGTGTGCAGAGCATGCCCTAGCTCTTCCCACAGTTCCTCTCAGCCCTTTCTCCTAAGCACCCTCTACCAGGGAACCCAGAGCCACACCACTTTCCTAAGATCCAGAGAGGGCAACAGAAGCCAAGGAGTGGAACACCCACCCAACAAAGACACAACAGACAGCAGCACCTAGAGTGATCTCAACCATCCTAACTCCAGATGCCTAGACACCAGCACAAGAAGATAAACGTGGAGAGCCAGGACAAAATGCCCGCACCAGAACCCAGTTACCCTACTACAGGAGGCCCTGAGAGAGACAAGACAGGGACTTCAAGACAGCAATATGAATCTATCTGTTCAGGACCTTCAAGAGAATATGAATAAATATTTTAATGAAGTCTGAGAAAACACAAAGAAACCGTGGAAAGAAATAATGAAAACAGTTCAAGATATGCAAGTTGAAATAGAATCACTAAAGAAAAACCAATCTTGGACTGGAGAGATGACTCAGCCATTAAAGGCTAGGCTCACAACCAAAAATATAAGAAAACGCAATCTGAAAAACTGGAAATGGGGGTTGAGGATTTAGCTCAGTGGTAGAGCGCTTGCTAAGGCCCTGGGTTTGGTCCTCAGCTCCGGAGGAGGGTGGAGGTGGAGGGAGAAAAACTGGAAATGAAAATTTAGAAAGTCAAACAAAAAAACATCAGAGATAAGCCTCACCAAGAGGAAATGGAATAGAGAATCTCTCAGGCCCTGAAAACAAGGTAGAAGAAACAGATACTTCAAGGAAAATGTTGAACCAAAAAAAAAAAAAAAAAAAAAAAAAAGACAAAGCAACATATAAGGGCAGACCCATTA